ATAAAATAACATATCTTATACTATGTTATTATAGCAACAACTATGTTCAACAATGGGGTTTGATATGATATACATATAACAGTATATACAATTTCTATAGAAAATATTCGTTTTAACACCTTTAAAAAGTATTTCAACTACCGTCTTATATTTTGAAAGAGTCATATTAGTATTATTACTACAAGATATTGCCTACGGCCAAATATTAGAAAAACTTGTAAGAAAATCCAACGATACCTCTACTACAACTATACTCGCATTTTATATCCTTTAACTCACAATAAAGGCTGAGCTCACGAAGTTACAGACAATTAATTACACTAAAAAAATCATGACCATCCTTCCGGGCAATGAGGTAATAAAATTGAATAAAATTGTAAGCAATAGTGTTAGGCATAAATATTTGGAATTCGTAAAAGTTTTCGTATACCACTAAATAAGTGACTTAACAGGCACGGCATAGATTGTATCGCTCGCAACTAGAGCGCAAGTTTTAGCTTTTACAACCAACTCAGGCCTGCTTGAGACCGAAGCCAAGCCAAAGACGCACTAATTGACGACGCTATCGAGCTCTTCAAGTTTCGAGCTCAAGCGAACTTCGACCTTTCAAATTCCTATTTTAAACTAACGCTGCGGGAAAGTTTTATAAGAGCATTAAATAAGTTACGAACACTTGAGCCTTGGTAGCTCAGGGGCTAAGCGCTCGCGGTAGTAAATTTCACAGTACGCGAGCAAACCGGGTTCGATCCCATCCGGCACCAATGAAATTATTAATTACTATTTTAAGTGCTGATTTACTACAAGCATGGCGGTGAAGGAAAACATGAAACCAAGTGTGTTCTTATTTCAAACATGAAATAAGAACAAAAATATATTCCGAAGGGACGTGAAGTTCGCCAACACGAATAAGGGCAGAGCGGCGAACATTTCCTTGCCTTAAAACCCTCTCAGAAATAAGAGGAGGCATGTGTTCAGCAGTGGGATGTATATATACTGTAACTTTGCACACTTGAGCATAGACTATTATTTGTCGTTATATTGAGTTATGCAGATTTCTCAGTCTAGTCTTTTTTTCTTTTTTTATAGGATAGGGTGACAAACGAGTATGCAGTCCACCTGATGATAAGTGGTTGCTGTGGCTTATAGACATCTACATCTACCCTCGATTACAAATAAAAATGCAGATGCGTTGTCACACATGAGGACCAAGATGGAATGCCTCGTTTCCAGTAAAAAGGGTCGCCAGTTCTCTACACTCACCATACGAAACACAGCAGCATTGAGCTACTATTGTACGCTGGTATTCTGTGAGAGCGTGGTCCTTCCCCGGTCGAGCCGACCCATTCGTGCTACAACTATACTACTAATATAATAGCAGCATAGCTCTACCAAATATTGTCTGAGATAGTAAGCACAACATGTTTGAAAAACATTGAGCTCAAATATGGCAATCGTAGAGATTACATGAATAAAATATCTGTCTATTGAAATATTGCAGGTTAACAGAGAACTTTTATTCATTATGTAAGGTATTCTGTTGCTAATATTGTTTCAATTCATCCTAACAAATATAACTTAAATGAAAATTCAGATTATTGTGAAACTTTAAGTCAAATAATTATACTCGAACAAGTATACACCATAAAATGGAGCGGTAATCTCAATGAAGGAACATAGTGACAAGGAAGTGGTTTTAGTTATTAATAAACAATAGATAGTATAACTCAATATATATGTAAGTATGTTTTCAGCAAGAATCTGGTGTGACAGTGGTGTTACATAACACCTGCATACACCGAAAGAACATACATACAAACATTTAATATACAAACAGTTTAAAAGTAATATATAGTAACTTCTTATTTTTACGCTAATACTAAATCTGTCTGTTTGTAATGGTAAAATAACAGCATTTTACTAAATGCATATGACAGTATATATACTATATACGGTACTTATAATAAAAAAAAATTAAAATGCCTGTCTGTCTGTCTGTTTGTTCCGGCTAATCTCCGAAATGGCTCAACTGATTTTGACGAGACTTTCACTGGCAGATAGCTGATACTATGAACAGTAATTTAGGCTACTTTAATTTTAAAAGAGAATTAGGGTTACACGAAAAAATATTAAATCCTATGAAATTCCGCATTCCGCGTGGAACAGCTAGTATCGAATGGAGCCGTGGTAACGGTGCTCCGTGACAGTGCGTTTAAAGCACCTGAAACGTCGTAAAACGTATTTCTATATTATATTTTATAAAGCAAAACTAAGTACTACCACTAACTAGAATTAAAATACTTAGTAAACAATTGACCCTTCTTAGTGCTGCCTGCAGTACTTTTGCTTATAATTATACTGCTACGCCTTATTTGCACAAGATAATTGCCCGTTGTTTAACATTAACATTAAATATGAAACTGAGCAATAATTATCCTAATCTGATAGACACAATTAGTAGTAATTTCTAACTGCTAACGCCAATACAATTAACATAAATACAGTCACTGATTAAATTACAAATACAGATCACCTTAAGTAATGAGGTTAACTTTCAACTTCCTACTTATACATTGAGCCCGGGTAAAGTGAAGCTTTCGTAATGAAAATGTTAATAACGTTTGGTCTGCACTCATAAAAGCGGCACAGGTAAACCGGGATACTAAACGTAATGGCACAACACTGAAACAAAAACAATGGCTGAGCCCGAGTAAGGAATTAAAATAAAACATTTCTGTAAACAAGTATTACTTGAATACGGATGGCTGCGAGGCTAAAACAGAAAAAAATCATCGTTCCCCATTCCATTTCATGAAATATACGTCACTGCTGAATTCAAAATGAAAACGAAAAATGGAAGGATAGTAAAATTGAATTAAAAATCCTGAAAATTCATTCGTTCATACATTACAGCCAATCAAAATGTCCACGGTTGAACATAGTCTACTCGCACAATAAAAACAACCTCTATACATCCCACTGCTGGGCACAGGACTCTTCTCAATTCTGAGAGAGTTTTAGGGCAAGGAAATGTCCGCCGCGCTGCCCCAATGCTTGTTAGCGAACTTCAGTTGTCATCGAAATATTTGTTTTTTTATTTCTCAGACATCCAGGTTTTCCTTCACCACCGAGCACATGGTAACCCAGCATATAAAATTGCAATTAACAACTTCATTGGTGCCGGCGGGGAGCGAACCCGGTTTCCACGGTTACTGTGAAATTTACAGCTAGCACTTAGCTCCTGAGCTACCACGGCTTGGCAGCCGCAGTGTTTTATCAATTTGTGTTGTTATCAGAAAGCTGCTGATGCTTCATTTCCCTCTGCTACCTCTTACGACACCCACGGGATAACACTGGAAAGGAGACCCTTTTATGCAGGTACGGCATGACAGAATATCCATATCGATCTGTTAAAAATATTGTATTAAGGAATTATATGGAAACATTTTCTCAATATCGGCAATTTAGCGTAGTACCTATCTCTTTAATATTAAAAGTTAAAAATATTAAAATTTTATGAACTTAAATACAAGATAATATTCTGGTATGAATACGCGACGCGAGTTTCAGCTTTCAAATGAAAAATGCAGTGCACAGCGGGACACTGAATGGGCGACCGCTTCGCAAAACGAAAAAAAAAATGCTTAGCCGACAAAACAGCGGTTACGTTGCCGAACAGAAACGGAACGCCTTTTCATAAAGCGACTGCATTTGAAACAGTTGTATTATTTAGCAAATATTTACTATTTATTATAAACAGTAAATATTACCTACAGTCGGCTCGACCGGTGAAGGATCACTTTCGCACAAAATACCTCCTAGAAATAACAGCATAACACTGCTGTTATTTGTAGGGTAATTGACAAGAACTGAAAACTATTTTGGAGCTAACGAGACGTTCCACGTTTTACCATTTAGCTTCGTGAAATCATTTGAGTAAAATAATAATAATAATGTCCTTCAGACCAAATTTCTGTCACCTGCACATCTGCACAGGTCTGGTCATCTGCACAGGACATTTTATACGTGGTAGAGCTATGCTGCAGTTGTATTAGTAGTATAGTTGTAGCACGAATGGGTCGGCTCGACCGGGGAAGGACCACGCTCTCACAGAATACCATCGTGAAATAGTAGCTTAACGCTGCTGTGTTTCGTATGGTGACTGTAGAGACCGGAGACCCTTCTTACTGGAAACGAGGCATTACATCTTAGCCCTCGCGGGTGGCAACGCATCTGCATTTTGATTCGTAATCGAGGATAGATGTAGATGTCTGTGGGCCGCAGTAACTACTTACCATCAGGTGGACTGTGTGCTCGTTTGTCACCCTATCCTTTAAAAAAAACATGACTAGGCGGCACGAGTTTGTGCTTAAACATAGATGTACTCTCTATTCCCACACTCTAGTAGTCCGATGGGACTGCAATACAATACGACCGGAGACGGATCAGCCGGCCAACGGTTTTTTTTTTGGGTTTTCCCGGGGCCGGGGGTGAGACATCGCCAACTTGGGCTGCTACAGAGAATCTCTTGACAGAAAAACCAATAACTAATTTAGGCCCGATAATATGATCAACAGTTCGCACTTACGACAAACTTGTCGAAGGTGCGATGGTCGTGGCGACCTTGGGTTGAGCCCTGCCTCTAGTAAAATAATACATACAGAGACCACAAAGTCGTCTGAATATTGATGTACTGAACCCTTACCTACTAATAGCGCATTTGTAACTATGGCAAATCTTCATCAAAACGCTAAGAAAATATAACAAACAAAGGCCATCTATTTACCACAGAAATCTAAATAATAAGGTATTATTTAGATTTCTGTGATTTATACTATAAAATTAGAATAATATATATGTGTAAGAGTTTGCTCAATTCAAGGAATGAGGTTTGGATATTTGAATTTCGAATGAAAGGAGGAGGGTTTTAATTCAACGAGTATTTTATGCTAATATCAAACATCTTCGAATTTTAAAAAGTTATCCTTTCAGCATCCCCTTACCGGGCTGAGTCTTCTGTCCCAAAATACCTGAAACAAATGGAATGGTCCCGTTAAAAACTTTTAATTTCAGATAGAAAATTGTTTTGAAATTCAGCAATTTATATCATTCGACATAATCATAAAGAATAGAGTCTTTGGACATAATTAATAAGTACATGTAAAGCTTTAACATATAATAAAGTTTTTTTAATAAAACTAGAGTGATGTTAAATGTCCTGATTTCTGCCACCAACTTCAGACAAAAGTCACATCTGCGGCATTCCCATGTTATGTCCCACAGCTTGTGATCATACTAGCCCTTCACCCTAACGGAGGAGCTAACCCAGGAAGGGTTAAAAAGACAACAGTCTAGAATGATAGATAGATAGAAAGATAACTATTGCGTTTGAACAAAGTTATTACAATAACGAAAACTTATGACTACAAACTGTGGTCATATATCTCTTTAAGCGATTCTGCCTGACAAACCGAACATAAAACATTACGACACTTATAATTTTACATTTTGTCGGATAGGTGCAACGTGCAATATGAAATAAACAGGGAAAAAAATATTATTAAAAATAATATTTATAAAAATATATTTATAATATATACAATATTTAATGATATATATATATATATATATATATATATATATATATATATATATATATATATAGATGATGATAAACTAATAATTTAAATAATTAGATACGATTTATTTTTATTTTTATGTTTTGTCGATTTATTTGTATTGTTACTAGCGAAGGAGGGAAACAATGGGAGATGGACAAGCAACATTTAAATAAATAAAAAATTAAACAAAAAACTACTGCGGCCGCCCACGATCTAACCAAGCATGGAAGCTATAGCAAATATCCCTCGTAACAAGCAATCTCTAGGGAAGCCCTCTTTCCAGCACTGGAATTTTTGATAGGCTATAAAGGTAAGGATGTTACATTCACAAAATACGTACTAAACAGTCTCAAAGTAAAAATATAAAATTTATAGTCCTTGAGATATTAAGCCGGCGAGCTGTGTTTGAGCCCTACCTAAACAGATTACGAGAGAATTTCTGACAAGCATGTACCGACGATAAGTACCATTCTACCGAAAATTCGAGAAACGTGCAGATATCTTCATGTACCAACCTCCGAGCGGTTTAACATAACTATAAATACTTTATCGAACTAAAATTTATGAGGAGACATGAATACTACGAAGAAATAAAAGCGCAAGGGGCGCTTATCTAGTCCATGAGATATATTGATACCATAAAGTATCACAGTAGCGAAATGTAATGGTGATCGTGTTACCAGGATATATGCGATAGATATACAAAAAGTCACCTACCTATATACAAAAAGTCATTATTGTACGTATAAGAGTGCATACACTTGAAAAGCCATTTGTCAAGTGTAAGGTGTAGCCCAGTAGATATAAATATTGTTATTAACGTTGGAGGTTACTTTCAAGTATTTTTACATGTATTTTGAATACTTCTAATCATCACCAATCTAATACTTCTACTAGGCATTGAATAAAACTAAATTTACGGATTTTAAAATCCGTAAATTTAGTTTTATTCAATGTGTAGTGTTCGCGTAAATTTAAGAAATCATTATGTCTACTAGGTAATTTACATTTAAAAATATTGAAGTGATAATTCTTCGTGCTAAAATACACAAAATTGGTTCTATTCAATAACGCAATTCTTCGTTTTCCTGATGCCTTGAGTCCTATTTCCGTTATTATTTCCTTAAATGCTACCTTCATAATATTACTATGCTCACGACTACATAATATTAAAAAATAATATTTGATTACGAAAACGGTAATGACTCACTTATTATCCATATTAAGGTATAATTATACATATTAAGGTATATCAATTTTTTGTTTGGAGTATATGAAAGTCTGAAAATCAGTTTGCATTTCAAAAAGCTTAGATACTTACATGTTTTCGTATTCATAACCTAGGTAAAGTCAACATAATAATGTCAATACACTTGCCAATGCTCTATAACATCTATTCACACTTCAAATTTTTCAAGCTTCCTAGCAATCATATCGAGAAAATATACTTTTATACAATTTCAAATGATATAATAAATAGTAGATTTTGAATTGAGGTCCGCTTGGAACACGTTCAAACGCCGGTCAATTTTGTGGAAATAGGTTCCGAATACACGCTCGGGAAAGTTTGTGAATTTTATACGGCAAAGGAAGCCAGCCATCTGAAGCAATTTACAAGCTGAAATTACAATCTTAATGCGTCATTTTTTGTAATATTTAAAACGATTTTAAAGATTTTTTTTAACGTATTCTACCCTACCACACTAGACCGTATCCATCCATGCGTGAACGTGTAGTGGCGATGGAAGAACATCCAATACCCCATAACGCCCCGTGGGTAAGAGTCCCGTCGTAAGAGACGACAGAGGAAAACAAACTAGAAGATTGGCAAAAGCTTGTTCCAACAACTGCAACACCAGGGAAATTGCAGATGCGTTGCGTCGATTCGCAGTGATGGACCGCCAATCATACAGATTGTACGGATGGTATCGGGAGTTTTGTCGCGATGTGCGATGGTAAAATTGAGCGGCTGGAATCACTCCGAATAATTATTCAGAACACTCCCCGTGGTAGATGCGATAAAATACGCAAAGAGATCACGGTACGGAGAACATCTCTTCACAATCCCAGTGAGTCAAGCCAATCAGAAAGAACTCGATCGCCGATGACTCGAACCGCTCTGCGCAGCCCCAGCCCAGAGATGAGAACAGTATTCCATGTGAGGTCGAACCTGCGCCTTGTTAAGTTGCAGGCGGTGTGCCATGCATTAAATACTGCCCCGCTGTGCTGAGCACGCCAAGCTTTTTAGAGGCTAATTTGGCCTTCTCTTCCAAGTGACCACGCAACTGCACGTCAATCGATATGTCGACGCCGAGGATTACGATACTGGTTAAGGAAAAACTGAGGAGGTACGACAAGGGGGTTTAACGGTAAACGCGCAAACTTGTGTCTTCAGGGGATTGAACTGGACTAGATTTAATCGCTCCTAGTCCGAGACTTTGCTCAAAAATGTCTCGACTTCTGACACAAGTTTGTTGCGGTACTCGGCAACGTTTTACCGAGAAATATTGACACGGCGGGTGTATAAAGTATCACCATTGCTGTCGTCCTATGCGCAAAGAATGTTACCGGTTTGCAACAGGTCATTGATATGCAGAAGAAACAGCGTTGGTGATTGCACGCAGCCTTGTGGAACACCTGCGTTAATAGGCTTATAAGCGGGCATGCACCGTGTACTGTTGTGTGACCTTGATGCCCAATCTGCAAGAAAACTGGTGATCCAATTTCACAATTTCTCGGGAAGCCCATAGGAGGGAAGCTTCGAAAGAAGTGTTTTGTTCCAAACCCGATCGAAGGCCTTCGCTATGTTCAAAACCGTACAAACGGTCACTTATCAGCTGGTGATCCTCAAGGTACCTCATGAGCAGGTATTTAATAATTGTTTCTATTATTTTAGAGAACAAGGTGGTAATAGTGATAGGCCTGTAGTTGAAGGGATCTAAGCGGTCGCTGGAGTGCACCAAAGATGTCTTTCATGAATTCGGTACTACGCCTAGGGAGTAGGAGTACCGGAAAAGATGTGTTAAAACCGGTGCCAACTTCAGGGCACACGTTTTCAGCACAATAGGTGTGACTCCATCAGGCCCACTCGACTTGTTGACATTCAAGGAGAGGAGTGCATAGTGCACCGAGTGTTGTATAAAAATCATATCCTGCATGAAGCACTCACACCGCGGGATGGTCGGCGGTGTGTTCCACCCATCATAGAGAGTCGCCAAGAGTGAGCCTAGCAGATCGGCTTTCTCTTTTGCTACATAGGCTAGTGAATCGTCTTCCCCGTGCAAAGATGTCAGAGATGTCTGACCTCGCATTCCTAAGAGGGTTTAGAGCATGAAGATTCTGCTAGCTCTGGTACAAAGCTGGTATAATAATATTATAATAACAATAATATCTTTATTGATAAACATATTAAATGGGGGGGCCCTACACTCTATTGTGAAGAGGCAAAATGTGTCAAAAAAGGCACGTATGGCAATTCACAATGCTGTGTTGGTCCCTACTTTAACGTATGGTAGTGAAAGTTGGGTGTGGCAGAAGAAGCACGAGAGTAGAATAAATGCAGTAGAAATGCGGTCGTTAAGGAGTATGTTAGGGCTGAATCTGAATGACGGTAAAAATTGTGTGATAAGAGAAGAGTGTGGTTTGCAAGATGATGTTATGACCAGGATTAAGAAAGGAATGCTTCGGTGGTTTGGTCATGTGGAAAGAATGAATGAGAAAAGAGTGACAAAGAAAATTTATGTTGCAGAAGTGAATGGCAGAGTCGGAAAGGGACGCCCGAGGCAAAAATTTATCTACCAAATTAGCGATTTCTTAAAAACGGGCCAAATTAGGAGTACCCTTAACCGACGAGCATGTATGCGTAGGTGTATGGATGTGAAGGAGGCGAGAGAGGTGTGTCAGGATCGTGCCAAATGGAAGTCTAGTCTCTGCCTACCCCTCTAGGTGACAGGCATGAGTGTTTATGTGATAAACATATTACATGCAAAAGCACTTACAGTGGTCAACAGCCTCCAAACTAGGTTATTATACCCGTATTTCAAGGGCTAGTTTTCCTTCCCCATTATTAGTTCTTGTAATTACTACTGCTTGACAGTCCCAATGGATGGTGACAGCCATTACATATGATGCAGATGGTGATGATGCGTACTTATAAATTAGTGATTAATTAATAAGTTTATCATCATAATCACTAGAGCCCATCACAAGGTCATTGAACCAAGGCCTCTCACAAAGTATGCTACAAAGTATGGTCATGTGACACTTGCATCCATCGACTGCATGTTTCGTAAGCTATTATATATATTTAAATGCTATGTATTTCTCACCTAACGTCTGGCTATGAAAGCCCACCGCAATGATTTCGATATTCGATAGTTATAAAGATTATTGAGCTGTATTCGTAGACA